CAGCCAATAACTATTGGAGTGAGTTTCTAGGTGGAATCATTTCGTTAAAGGAATATTTCCCAAAAGAAATTGTCTAGTATGCTCAGTACAGCATATGACTAGTGTGAGTGTATTAGTACAACTTTAATTAACGCACACTTTTGAGGTCCTGTAAGTATTGCTTAACTCTGTGTTAGTAAAAAAAATGAAGACAACTAAAATGCTTTAAGTTTTATATATTAGCATGGGTTTGTTTTTTTTTTTTAATTTCAGTATTTGATTTGCCATAAAGAAAAAGGTAGCTTGAGTTTGATCTTTAAGTTGAATTTTATTACTTGTTCTTGTATCTCTCAGAATATCTTGTAACTCTCACAGTAGTTATCAATTAAGTTTTAAATCTTTTGTTCCTTTTCTATATATATCAAAATGAAAAATTGATCTTCCCATTTTTTAACACCTTGTAATATCTTATTTAGATTTCCATTCTACAATTTATCTTTTGCATCATTAATTGATCTCTCTTTTCAGAGTTTATTGACATTCAGTACAAAATCTCCAGAAGAAAAACTCACACCGACAAGCAAACAGGTATGTTTAGCCATTTATAGACAAGCTGCATTGCGTCCCTAAAAAGATAGTTATCTTTTAGGACTTAACTGTGAGAAAAATGTTTTATCTGGCCCCAAAATAGAATTAAAAACTTATACATACACATATAAACCGATGTGCCTCTTTTGGAGTTATAGTGCTCTTTTAATTTATAATATCTATGATATATGCTTGTGATTTAGAAAGCCAAGTAGTTCTATAAGGCTCTTCAGGAAGAACATCTCCAACACCACTGACATTACCCTCAAAGACAGTCGCTCTCAAATTTTTTAGTTGGAATTTTTATTTAACTCCATATCTCTAAGAAACATGTTTATATTGCTCGTTCCAAATTTTTCAGGTTTAGGTATTATATATTAACAATAATCTTTTGAAGCTGAAATTTTAGCTCTTTTTCACAACACCACTCCCCACATACACAACACATATTCCCCCTACCTGTCCTCCAAGTTTCCCAATATAGATGAATCTTAAATTGGTCAGGTCAGTATTAATTGTCATAACCATGTAAACACAATTCATAGCCAAGCCATATAGTAATACACAGATTGATTTTCCTTTCGTAGCCAACTTTTTGTTTTCCCTGGCATTAACAATTGCCTTTTTTTTTTTCTTCATTTGCTTATGCTTTTTATTTACTTCACACCTAATTCAACCCCAGACTCTGTGCAGATTGTATAAGTCTTCTCTCAGTACTTTCATACATGTTAGGTATTCTTTCAGGTCATGAAGAAATTTTTCCAAGAGCCTCTTAACTTGCTTGAGTCTGGACTGATTACCTTGCAAACCTACCATAAATCCCAGCCATCTTAGGATCTACATTGACCATCATTCTGGAGATTTGTTTTACCTCTCCTGTATTAGATCCCATGTTTTTTCTTTCTTTGGTCACTTGCTTTGGTGAAGCACATTCTTTTAGCACATAGGAGGTACATTTAAGACCTTGCATGTTTGGAAGTGTTTTTATTCTTTCCCACTTGAGTGGTACAGAGTTGTAGGTTGAAAGTCATTTTCTCTTAGAACTTTTTTGCCCTGTTATTTCATAGCTTCTGGTGTTAATAGAAGTCTAATGCCATTCTTATTCTTGATCCTTCATCTGTAACTTGGCTTGTTTAGTTTCCTCTGAAAACTCACTGAATTCATTCAATGATTTTTTTTGTTGATCATCTACTATATGGCTGGGACTATATTCTAAATGCTTGGGATACATTAGGAGCAGAATAGCCCAGTTTCTAAACTTGTGGTGTTTACAGTCTGCAGGAAGATATGACAGTAAGCAACTAGCATTAAATAAATGAAATATGTAGTATTTTAGAAGGTGATAAGAATTATGTCTGTGTGGAGGAAAATGGGGTCTGGGGTGCTGCTTGCAATTTTAAATAGGGAATTCAGGTAGGCCATATTGAAAAGACCTAAACTTTCATCCGAGTGAATGGGGAGCCCCTTGGAGAGTTTTGAGTAGAGAATTGACTAAAGGGGAATTAATTACTTTTCCCCCTTCATTTTCTCTGTTCTTTTCTTGCAACTCCCATTATTTTGTGTTGGACCTTCTAGAATGGTGCTCTAATTTTCTTATGTTTTGCCTGTTTTCTTTATTTTAGTTGTTTTCTGGGGAATTTCCTCATCTTTATCATAAAGTCTTTTTTTCCTCTCTCTCTTACATGGTCTGATTTCATCAGATTTTTGTTTGTTTTCTATCTGTTTTGGTGGCTGTCTTTCATTTTAGAGGTTTTCGTTGAGTCTGATGATTCTTGGCTGTCTGGCTTTTATTTAAAAGTAGGCAAAAAAGCTGCTCGGAAGTTCTCTGCCCTTGTGGAACTTGTCTTCTGCCTTCCACTATCTGGCTAACCTATTTTATTGAGAAAATGTCATTATTTTTTGGTCGTCTGTTAGGCTGGTCAAATTGCCCAGATAAAATTCATCTGAGTTCTTGTCTGAAGGCTGTAGACCTGGCTGCCAGCGTTCTGAGAACCTCCCTATAGGAAGTACAGCTGCCTTCAGCTGTGGAGATCATGGTGACACCACCACCATCCACTCTCAGTCTAAAGACATTCAGCCCTCTGCTGGGGCTGAGGAGGTGACGGAGGAAACTGAGTGCTTTCTAAAATAAACTTTTAACCAAACCATCTGGTTTTTTTAAGCCCCGCTCTCACCCCCACTTACAGGGGTGGGATTATTACCAATTCCTGCACATGTGTGGGATTCTGGAGTATGAACTGGGGCTACTTGGCTTTCCCCACAGTCAGCTTAGAATTCTTTCTTAGTTCTACTAAGTAAGTTATCCTTCAGCATGTTTTCCAGCTTCTCACATATTACTATTAATGGCCTTTTCCCACCATTGTGATTTTATGCCCTTTTGAAAACCCCTGTTGTCATTTTTGCAGGATTTGGGAAAGAAACAGTGGTAAATGCATGTTTTCTCCTGTCGTCCACTGTTAGCTTTTCTCATAGTAAATGGATGCTAGGCCTTGGTTGCTTTACCTGTAAAATGAGAGAATCATACTAGATAATTTCTAAAGTTCCTTCTATCCCAGACATTTTATGATTCCATAGGGCTTACTATTGAGCCAAAGGCAGTTCCTCCTTTTTATTGAAATAATTTCCCTTTGTCTTAAATCCTTATAGCTGCTAGCAGAAGAAAGTCTTCCAACAACCCCATTTTATTTCATATTGGGAAAGCACAGGCAACAGCAGGATGAAAAATTAAATGAAACTTTAGAGAATGAATTGGTACAGCTACCCTTAACAGAAAACATACCTGCAATCAGTGAGGTAAGTAAACCATGTGAAACAGATTAAATACATTAAAGCACCTTAAGTTAGAGTTTTTTGTACAATCAATCTATAGCAAATAACTTTTGAATAATCATTTGTATGCTGAACACTTTATTAATCAAACTAAATAACAAAACTTTATGATTTGGGATTATTTTGGCCTTGACCTGGAGTGAACGGTAGTTGTGGTTGTTTGCCTAAAGGTAGGAAGGTGGAAATACATTTTTCTTTGGTTTGGTGTTTCTATAGGGGAAGCCTTTTGTATTTGACTCTTGACATCTTACAATAAAAGGTATTTAGTAAGGACGGTGAAGGAACAGATTGTGCCAAAGGATAATCTTTTTATAAATAATCTTTTTATACTGTTTTTTGTTATTTTGGTGGCTGGCCAGTGTGGAGGTCCAAACACTTGACCTTCTTGTTAAAACACCATGTTCTAAGGATAATCTTTTTAAATGAAACCCTGTATTTTTCTCTTTTTGCTCTAGCTTCTTCACACTCCAGCCCATGTGCTGCCATCTGCTTCTTTCCTGTGCTCCATGTTTGTAAATTCGTTGCTGCTATCTAAGGAGACTAAGAGGTAAGGAAACTGGGTGGTTTGTGTTCTCCTTTATTAGAATATTCTTCTGTATTTCTCTTTTATTTCAGCTTTAAAATGTAGGAAAAGGATATAGAATTAAGTAAAATATAATGAATATACCTTTCAGAAAAGTGATCTTTTGCGTGCGTGCATGTGTGTGTTAAGAATTTGGTATATAATTTTAAATTATACTTTTTATAAATTCATCTGCTTTTTTATAATAATCCGTTTGTTAAAGTATACTAAAGATTTTTCATTTACTTTATCCATTTGGTTATATTTCTACATAGGTATTTAAATTAGAAAGTTATTGTTTAGAAATATTTTTTAAAAGTAAGTGTTTACATTTTATTCTGTTATTGCTAAAGTGCTGAAGAAATTCCTGATGATGTAGATATGGAAGAAGAAAAAGAAAGTGTCAATTCAGATGAAGAAAATGATTTTACTGAAAAGGTCCAGGATATAAATAACACAGATTTGCAAGAAGATGTTATACGTCAGTTGTCAAAATCTGAAGAAAAAGAACTGAGAAAATTTAGGAAAGTAGACTACAGCTGGATAGCTGCTCTTTAGGTCTTGGATTGGGGAGGGTTCTTGCACTTTGTGGTTTTTATTGTGTGTTTATACTCCAAAACATTTATATTAATGTTATTTCTGTTCTTAAAATAAAATATTAAATATTAACAGGCTTTACTTTTTTAAAAAACTGGTAACGTGAAACTATGTTTGCATCGTGTTTTACAGTTGCTTGAAACATTCATATATCACATCATCTCATTTTTTATTTTGAGTCATACATCAGCCTGGTTAAAAAAATAGGTATTTTCTTCCCAGGTGATACAGCAGAACTGGCCCTTGAACTTGTACAACATATGTCCCCTTATCTGCAGTGTGGAGATATGAAAACTTTTGAAACTTAAAAGGCTTCATTATTTAAAATTTGACACCAAAATTCATTTGATAGCCAAATATGACCTAAACTGATGTGAGGTTTTTTTNATAGGTATTTTCTTCCCAGGTGATACAGCAGAACTGGCCCTTGAACTTGTACAACATATGTCCCCTTATCTGCAGTGTGGAGATATGAAAACTTTTGAAACTTAAAAGGCTTCATTATTTAAAATTTGACACCAAAATTCATTTGATAGCCAAATATGACCTAAACTGACGTGAGGTTTTTTTATAGTAGTCCTGATTTATTCCTTATAGCATATTTATTTCTCTGAGAGAAATTTAGACATGATTTGATTATGTGGTGTTCCACAGACCCCACTGAGGATATTACATGATAATGTGAGTTATCTAAAAATCTGAAAAATTCTAAATTCAAATTCATCTGGCCCAAGCTTCCATTGCTAGTAGGAAATAACCCAGGTCCCCTCTATTTTATGTTAAAGTAGTGAAGTTGCTACATCTTTACCAGTTAGAATTTTGAGTTTTCCAGTTCTCTGATCTACCTTTATAAAGTTTATATTAAAAAATTAACACAAAAACAAGAAAGTGTGCAAGTCATAAGAACACTTCTCAGTGAATGTTCAGAAAATTGCTGCAAATGGCTTTTTAGTATGTGCTGTACACAAAATGTTTGTATTCCCCCCTGAAATCCACATGTTGAAACCTCATGCCCAATGTGGTGGTATTTGAAGGTAGAGCCTTTGGGAGGTGATTAGGTGGTGAGGGTGGAGCCCTCATGAATGAGATTAGTACTTAGAGAGCTCCCTCGTCCCTTCCACCATGTGGTACACAACAAGCAGACAGCCATCTGTGAACCAGGAAATGGGCCCTCACCAGACATCAAATTTTCCAGTGCCTTTTTGTTGGACTTCCCAGCCTCCAGAACTGTAAGACATAAATTTCTGTTTATAAACCACCCAGTCTATGGTATTTTGTTTTAGCAGCCCAAACAGACGAAGTGTGTTTGAATCAGTATTCAAGAAAGGTCTGTACATTTTTAAAAATAACATCTATATTGAGGTGTAACTCAAGCCATACAATTCACGAACTTAAAATGGACAATTAGTTTTTAGTGTATTCACAGTTGTGCACCATCACCACAATTTTAGAACATTTTCATCACCCCAAGGTTCTGTACCCTTTTCCCTGCCTCACCTCATTTCCTAGGCAACAACTAATCTTACCTCTGTAAATGTGCATATTCTAAACATTTCATATATTGTAAATGGAATCACAGTACGTGGTCTTTTGTGATTGGCTTCTTTCACTGAGCATCCATGTTGTAGCATGTATCAGCACTTCATTCCTTTTTATTGTCTTCATTTCTCCTGGGTATATACCTAGGAGTGGAATTACTGGGCCATTTGGTAACTAACTATTTTTAGCCTTTTGAAGAACCACCAAACTACTTTACAAATCAGCTGCACCATTTTACATAACATGGCACATATGAGGATACTTCAAAAAGTTTATGGAAAGATTTGTATTTTAATTTTATTTTTCCACAAACTTTTTGAAGTACCCTCATTAAAAGCTCCATAGTCTGATCCACTCAATTTAGGTTTACAGGGTTTGGTTGTTTTTATTCTGTTTTTTTAGAGCAGTTTTAAGTTAATAGCAAAGTTGAGAGAAAGGTACAGACTTCTCATGTGCTCCCTCCCCCCATAGGTACATAGCCTCATTATCTATCAGCATCTCCCACCAGCGTGGTACGACTGATGAAACTACATTGACACATCATAATTACCTAAAGCCTATAATTTATATTAGGGTTTACTCTTGGTGTTGTACATTCTATGGGTTTGGGCAAATGTATAATGACATATATCCATCGTGGTAGTATATAGCATGTTTTCATTGTCCTCAAAACGCAGGGTTAGTTTTTGAGGCCAGTCTTTGAGGTTTGTTCCTCAAAGAGGAGGACTCTTAGCTGTCTCTCCCTGGTTCTTTCTGGTACACTAGCTGGTGGCCTCCTCTTACTTGCTTACCTGCTTACCACCAGAATCCCCATTGTTTTCAAGAACACCCTTAGGCTTGAACTGTTGCACTGTATTCCACATAATGTTAGAGCTCTATTCTTATGGAGTGTCTTTTTCCAATGGGCAAAATCTCTGAGCCATGGCTCCCTGGGCTGGCAGAAAGAACTGTTTCTTTCAGTGACACATTTTGCTTTACAAACTGGGTAGAGGCAGTGGCCTCTGGTCTTTGCTTGTCTTTCCCAGCATGGAAACTCTGCCCTATGATCAAGCTGGGGCAAGGGTGACCAAGGCTCCAGTATTCTCAAGCTACTGCACATAGGGTTGAGACTCCACTCTATGAATGTGGGCTTGGTAGAGGAAAGGAAACCCCAAGCTCTCGCCTAGAATTTAGCCTCTCCAACATGGAGCTGAGTGCAATGAGAAATGCTAGCAGGCTGCCCCTGGGAGCTGAGGGTAGAGGGACCCCTGTCTTCTTGGCCACACATGCTCAGAACACAGCTTGGGAAGGAGGAAGCAGCTTGTGGCCTGAGTTCCACAGACTAACTGTTGTTGCCGCTGCCGGGGTTTGTTAGATTTTCTTGGATAAATGTTTCTTCATCTCCTGTATGCCCTTCGGACAATTTCTGGAGACCTTACATGGTTGGGTTTTTTAAAGTAAATTTTACCAATTTTGGCTGTTCTGTGGAGCAGGTTCATGGATCTCATACTGCCATTCCAGAAGCAGAACTCTTAAGTCTTTCATCTTTCCATTTTTTTTTTTCTTCCTGTGCACAATTTGTTAAAGAAATCAAGTTTGCCCTGTACGTTTCTCACTTATTTTGCAGGTTGCTTTCATGGCTTTTAACATGATCCTCTGTCCTCTATATATTGGTATTTGTTTCTAGAGTAGAGTATCACTATCCAATAGAAATATAATGCAAATCCTATGTATAATTTTAAATTTTCTAGTGATTACAATAAAAAAGTAAAAATAATCAAATGAAATTAGTATTAATGATATATTTTATTAAGCCCCATGAATTTAAAACATTTCAACGTGTAACCTGTCTTTAAAATATTTATTGTGCCTATTTTACACTTTTTCCTATACTAAGTCTTCAAACTTTAGTGTATAATTTACACTTACAGAACATCTCCATTTGAACTATCCACATTCCTAGTGCTTAGCAGCCATGTGTGGCTAGTGGTTACCATTTTAGACAGCACAAATCTAGACGCTTGATCAGATTAACTTGGACATTTTAACTAAAACAAGAAAGATTGTGTCAACATGGTTTTGGTCTTATCAGCATCCCCTTCTTCCCCCAGTGGGTGGGACACATTGACATAGTTACAAATAAATTTTATTATCTTTCCATATTCAGGCACTGACATGGTACCGCCAAGTTCAAGAAATACTCATCTTTTGCCGTTACACATGAAAGATTTTATACTTTCAAATCGAATTACTTAATTTGGGGACATGTCTTTTTTAAATAGTGATTACTAAATAACCTGAAAAATCACTTTGTAAGTGTGGATTAAATTATTTTTCTAAAGAGTTGGTCTTTCTTACACTAAAACGTGACAACCTTATCAGGGGGGGATTATTCTAATTCCTCCTTTGATATTAAAATAAATACTGTTGTTTATCTTCTATCCTCTCACATTGTTCATCTCCTTTATCTGTCAAGGCATGAACCTGTTACACTGGCATGTCCAAGATGAAAGTCACAGCCTGTAATTCAGGAAGTATATACAGTAATCTTAACCTCACAGGGGGATAGACCATATGTTAACCACCATGCATTTCACACACATCACACTTTGCCTACAATTCCATGTGTCTGGTATTACCCCAAATTGACAATGAGGAAACTGGCTCCAGGGAGATTAAGTTTTTTTTACCCAGATAACTAGGCTTTCACAAGTGGGGCTAAAACAGGAGAACCCCTGCCTGTCAAATCACAAATCCTGTGCCCTTCTAGAATAACACATTGTCTCCCAGACACTTAAAACAGCTAGTTAGCATTACAAAGGCATCTATAATTGCAGAGCAACTGTGATAAAAAAAAACATACAAAATAGCCCAGATTAGGGCTAATCCCAGCTGCAAACAAGAGCTAGACATTTCCATGACCTGGCTAAAATCTTGTGAACTGTCTGAGCTTCAAAACCCCTTCATCTGTAAAATGAAATGCTCCTTCCCTATGCAACTAATTTTGTTTGCCTGACTAATACTATTATATTGCAAATATGAAAAAACTGTGTAAAATTTGAATGTTGTACAAGATTATGCACTTGTGTGTATCCAAAATTTTGTTGAAAAACCTAAGACTAACAAAATGACCACATATTAATTAGAATAGGCTCATTTGTGCTGGAGCAACATTCCTCTTTTTTTTTTTTTTGTTTTGTTTTGTTTTGTTTCTTATCTTAGACTAGCACCCATTACAGAAATTATAGAACATGTTGTAATGTTGTGGATAATGTGTTTGTGTTTTAAATAATTTCAGGTCTTTGTACTATGACTCCAATGGAACCTTAACAGACTCTACCTATTTAAGTTAAACATAACCATCTGGTTAAAATTAACAAGTCTTATAAATGACACTGATTTTTCGGAAGGCTGCTTTATCTACTCTACTACTTCTGGAAATTGTGCTTTCCTCTGTTAACTGTATTTCTTGATGGCAATGAAAACGACAAATTTATCTGTGACTCCAAAGTCAAGATTCTGTATCACCACACACTCTTCACTGAAAT